TGAAATGACCAAAATAGACCTAAACAATTTAGATCAGATTATTGGATGAAAGAAACATCAACTTCTATCTTGCTTGCATCAATATTATTGAGGGTACTTACTACAATGTTCACAGTGACCTCTGACTAGGATGAGAGCTACTTACTTGGGTTGTGCAGGTTTATTTATTCAACAAATCTTTTCTGATTATGCATTAGGTTTGAGTTCCTAGAGACAAAAAATTTACAGCTTGGAGGACAAGAAGTGCTTGCCACACTGGCGCATATTTGTGCTCATTGTATACAAAGAGAAATAAAAAGCCATCGATTTTACATGTAGGGCTAAGCAATGGAATTTCGGATAAAGGATATTGATTGGTCTGGTAACTAAGTCATTTTTAATGATACTTAGATAGGTTCTTTTAACATAGTAAAATATTAAATAATAAAATAAAAATAATAAAACAGAAAAGTATTATTTCTGAAGCACACACACACTATACACACGCACACACATTATACACACACATATGTATGTATATATATGTATACATACACCTCACATATGTATATATGCATTCTATATATATTATATACACATTATATATGTATGTCTAAGACACACATAGGCAGCATCTACAAGTACACTGAGGTTAATATCTCACTCCTTGCATTCAACCCCCAAATACTTCTTATTTAACAGTTCCCAATATAATAGCTTGCATTGTAGTTACTTGCATACATCTTAGTTTTGCTCAAAGACTACAAATTCTTGACAAAGGATTAGATCTCATTCATGTTCATGTCCCAATAGTAACTTATAAAGTGTTTGGCACATAAGAGGAGTTTAAAATATACTTGTGAATAAGTGATTGACCAACCAAATTGAACGAATGCGTACATGAATGGAGGATCATGCTGGGAAAGGAAAGAAGGGAGTTGAATACAGATTTTCTTCCTGAGTGGGTGCTTGTGGAATAAACTGACTTATAACTAGAAAATAGGAACCATTGGACATAATATGTAACAGCCTCTTAATCACAAAGTAGTTATAAATCCATGTTATGCCTTTCCAAGGCAATAGGTTAAGTTATTCAAACAAAAATTTTTGTTTGTTTATGGAAATTATCTCCATTATGGACAGAGTTCCTTCCACCAGAACAAGCTAACAAAATGGGTCAACGGCCAAATTTATGTTTCCTTCAGACACAGTGATTGCAAGTAAGGAGTTGCATTGAAATCCAATCCTTCTGCTAGAATTTTATGTGTTCTGAGTACTGATTTACCAAAACTCTTTCTGTAAATATAATTGGGGATAAAGTCCTAATAGGACTCCAAAGCAAATCCAAGGCTATTCATAACCAAGCCAAGTTACCTTAGAACTTAAAACTTAATCTTCAATATCTGCTGCAAACATAAATACCCAAAAACCATTTGGGACAAGGATCCAAGGAGCCAGGCAAACGCCAGCAGTCCAGCAAAGAACAGCCTCTGCCATCCCCAAGAGCAATGGCCTTGAAGACATTTACCTTGAACATCACTGATCAGGGGATATTGATTTTTTTCTCTGACATATCCTTTATAATGCAGGCCAAATGTTTCTAAAAATAGCAAACAGTAGGACTATCACTCTCATCTACAGGTGACATTCATATAAGATATACTGTGCTTTGAATTTTTAGTTTAATTGATATATAGTATAGTGTGAACACGCTTTTATAAAATAAGGGACTTGTATTTGATGATCTCTGTAAATTCCTTTCTGGCTCTAAAGTGATTTCTCCACAATCATTCATAAATCCCAATAAAAATGCCATCCCAAGGAAAGTCAATACAACCTTACTTAAATTTTTGCCCTCTTCTTTTTTGTCTGCCTTTTTACAAAGTAAGTTATTCGGGGATTTTAGAAAGAAAATTTCAAAGTCAACAGTTACAATGACATATAATAACTACTAACTTGTAAGGGAAAAATGCAATTTTATACAGCAATAACTGAGAACATGTGGACAATTCTATATAACCAAAGTCCTTAATATTTTCAAATCTCATGCGATTAGGATTCAAAAAATTACTCAATTCAATTTTCATTTTAACTTGTCTTAATTCTGCTGACATTTTTATATGCAGTTGCACAGGGTCCAAGATAATAACTATGTTGAACCCTGCAACTCAGCTTGTTACCTCTGATCACGTGCCATCCAGAGAAAATGCCTTTAAATAGTCCAGGATAGACAAGGGTCCAGGCACATCTATCATTTTCCTTGTTTCCTAAGCAATTGAAATTTCCCACCTATTCTGCCTGGGATCATTTGGGGCAGGGCACTTAATATTGCCAGAAGAGCTTGGTTGGAGAAGCCAAGTCACTGTTCTGTAGGAGGATTTTAAGCTCCCAGACTGAATTTGGCATATCTGCGGTTTTCTGTGTGTCTCAGCCTTATTTTTCTAGAAGCAGAGTGTCAAGTTCCTCTGTTAATCACTCTCCAAATGCCTATCTATTCCCACACAGTGCATTATTAAATGGAAATGAGCCTAATTATTCACCTGTTAGTGGGTGGGGATTAAAGAAAAGAGAAAATAAAGAGGTTTCCCTTTCAACAGTTTGGTGCAGAATCTCTATGCCACAGTGCTACGGATAGCAATTTAGCCTTGTTTGTGTGATGGGATAATAATTTTAGGTAGTAACCAAGGTTTCTTCTCACGCACGACTTCTTGGTCTCATGCCTACACTCCCTATTCCCTACCCATGACCCATCCAAGTGCACCTTCAGTCAGAGGAATCCATCTCCCCAGAGAGGACTGTTTCAGCAGAAAAACAAAGCCAGAAAAGCCAGATGGTCCCTGCTATACTAAGATGGTATTTAGGTCTTCAGGAAATTGGACACATTCAAGGAAAAAAGTTACATTTTTCTTGCACGTGCAAACTTAGGGACATAAGAAATTTGTACCTACTAGACCAGTAACGATGAGATCGTTAGTGTGTTTTTCCCAATAATACACATGATTGTGTATTATGCCTTGGTAGGACTCAGGCATACCGGAGTGGATTTACTCTTTGTTCTCTGAGACACACTGACCATTTTTCTGGAATGCTGACTCACTTGTGAGATTTTCTGTACATGGAGGCTGCAGGGTGAGGCAGCAGCCTGGAGAGTCAAGTCTACTAAGATTTTGTCATTCACCCTTCCATGCTAAAATATCAGCATCCTTTCATCAAGTTTAAAAGGGAAATTGTGTCATATATTAGAAATATGGAAATTTCTAAAGAGTTACCGAGATTCCACACTGCAAATGATGCTCACCTAAGATATAAAGTGCTTCAAATTTTATTTAGACCATTGAACCTAATAATGTAGGCTTTCATGCAAACTTTCTCTGGGCCTTTTTTTTTTCTAATATTTATTTAGTAGGTCATAGGATTCTTATGAGGGTGAAATGAAGTGATAGAACTTTCCTAAAACTTTCAAGCACATCCCATTATCTGAATCAGAAATAGTTACTTTAAAAAAAAAAACTCAAAGTGACAATGGGTAGTCTCATATTTACCAACCTCAATTTTTTTCAGTATTCTTTTCCTTGTTCTTTGTTTTTATTTAACTCAAAATAGCTAACAACAAAACATTTAAAAAATATCTCCCACACGTGAGTATTCAGTTATTTTTGGTTCATGACACGATTACAGAGTCCTCGCCTGTTTCCAACATGAAGTAACACATCTATCATAAAAGTATCTCTCAAAGTCTGCAGCAGGCTTTAAACCTGTATATTTAGATCCTGACCAAAAACTATGATATAGTTATTCATTCTGAATCAAATATTTTTCTCCCACACAGAAGCTTAGTAAAATGAATAACCATAAATAGGCCATTAATCAGTTTTCAATGAAATGCCCAAATACAGCACGTACATAAAGTTTGCATATATGCTTTTGTCCTTTATTACTCAAAACATGAATGTCAGTGAGATGTACAGTGGAGTTAAATCATTCACTGAACTTACCATTAATTCCATATAGGAGGTCAGCGAAAAGGAAACAATAAGGAAAATAACAATGAATCCCGTGATAATCCCACCAGTTTAATGAATGAGTGAACCCTGATGAGGGTTGAAGAACCTTGAGGAAATCAAGTGCTACCACTGTGGCGTCTCCTCAGGTACAGTCAGTTCACATCTGTCTCTCAGAAGACAAGCATCTTGCAGGACGAAGGGTGATTCTAGTGTTGAAAGTTACATGGTTCTATACAAAATTGCCCTAAACGAACATCAACAACGTCAAATGGTCTTCAACGGAAGAAACAGTCCTTTCTTCCAACACCAGAGGAAATCTGGTTGTGTTGGACGCACAGATTTCCAATATGGCGCCTTTCGAAACGGCTGTCAAGGGGAATCTCCATACTCCATTTAACTTGTGTCCTGACACTAGAAAGCTAATCCCTAGGTATGAGGCAACTCCACTGCAGTGTGAGTAGCAATGGCAAGATTTTTAAAAATGCCCTAACATTGTCAGCATCGTTTAATTTCCAGTTTAGTTCCGACTCACATTTAGCACTGCGTGTATCTGTGATACTCCCACGGTGCCAGGACGTAAGAATATATCTATCACTGACCGAGAAACTCTCACGATGAAAAGATTAGCGTCTCCTAAAATCTGAAAAACAACAACAAGCTACCAAAGTAGATCAGTCTCAGTATGATTCAGGATAAGATGTTCAATTAGCAAATGGTGCAACTAAAGCAGAGAGTAACTTTTGTTTTGTTACACTTGCTGCTCCCAGTATCTTCTATAATTTTGCAGTTGGCAGCTACCTTCTACTTCTCAAACACTTGGCCTTAACCTCAGCACCGCCCTGGTTCAGTTTCTATTTTTAAAAGCATCATTCTAATGGAAATGTCCCTGCCCTGAATTAAGCTGGGACTGTGAATTTTACCACTAGCTAGAGCTGTTATGTCATAGAGTTTAGGTTAATTTGGTATATACCGATTTCCGTGAAACCTGCTTCGGCTTCTTCTAGCCATGGAGGATTTCTACCTGTGCTGCACATGGGGGTAAAATATCCCATGGAGGACTCCTTCAATAACCACATTTGGAAAATCACCGGCTGCAGGCAAGACATATGGATCCCTGAGGAACAGCTGTACCGGCTGGTGGGACAGTTTGCTTGATTCTTCAGATTCCGTCTCATCAAAAGATCCACAACTCTCTGCCTTTGGTAGCGAGGGCAAGTGTCGCACATTTAGGAAATCAAGGAAGAGTTTGGGAAGCTCTTCATTTTCCAAAATGACAGCCTGTAAATATGTTTCCAAACCTTGTTGTCGTTGTTCCAAGACTTTTGGGACCCAGTTCCTAACATGTTTAGAAGGGATTTCTGGAGTTTTTATACATTTCTTCAGCTTTTTGTGCAAGGCATGAAATTCGCTGTACCTTTTTTCAACAAAATGTTTTCTTCCATTCATTAGCACTTCTATCTTAAATACTGTGTATCCCAGCTCCAGGTCGCTCTCCTCATAGCTAAAGGACGTGATGTAGACCTCCATGGCCGCGCCAGCCGGCCGGCTGTTTTTTCAGTATTATGGTCCCTTGCTTTTTGAATTTCAGGGATCAAACAAGATGAAAGCAGTAAGCCTGCTGAATGAGACAACAAAAGTGGACTTTTGAGAAAACTGTTCTTTATTGTGGAAATGGCTATATCATCTTAGAGTTGGATTAGTCCTCAAGTCCTAATTTGAGCTAAAGGCTGCTACTGCTGAAATTTCTTCTAACAAAATGCTGCCTTCTGAATGATGCAGATGAGCAGTAGCCCACAGTCTGATGTCCAAAAAAGATCCGGGTGAAATTATTAACATGTTAAAAGTAGCATCGCCAATTTCTGGGATATTGGCAATGGTCTGTTTCTTACACTGGAAGGTGAATACATGACTGTGCTCACTTTGTGATAATACATCAAGCTTTTTTTTTTTTTTTTTAAAGATTTTATTTATTCATGACAGAGAGAGAGAGAGAGAGAAGCAGACTCCCAAGGAGCAGGGAGCCCGATGCGGGACTCGATCCCGGGACCCTGGGATCATGACCTGACCCGAAGGCAGACGCTTAACCGTCTGAGCCACCCAGGCGCCCAATACATCAAGCTTTTAACTTAGGATGTGTACACTTCTGTGTGTTTCACATCAGTTAATCTTAAAAACCACAATGCTGAGCAACTAAGAAAATCAAAAGACTCCTTGAAAAGAAGCACTGACCCACTCCTACTCTTTGGACTTTGAAAACTGATTAGGGTATAGCTAAATAAAATTACAGAGATCCTCATATCTAAACATTATGGATTAAAAAGCACTTCCATATTCATAGTATTAGTTCTGGGAGAGATTTTGTGCTTCCATTTTAAAGAAGTTAAATTTCAACATAGATAAGTGACTTTTCCAGAGCATTTCAATAAGCTTTAGAACCTTGTCTCATTCCTAGCATTTTTGTTGGAGTTCAGTCTTTGTTCCACAATTTCACAGCTAACCCTACTACATGAACTCTTATTAAAACTAATCTTATTATTAAGCCAAAATGGAAGAGCTATATGATTATTCCAGTAGATACCCAAAAAAGGTATCCAATAAATTCCAACATCTATTTTAGACTTTTAAAAATATTCATCATTAAACCTTTTTATCACGATAAATAATATTAACCTCAAACTCACATTTGACATTTTACGAGAAGCATGATCATTAAAGACCCAAACCACTTGACAATGTCTCCTGTCACTACGATTCAACATTGTCCTATATGTGTAAGCTAACACAATAAAAGATAAAAGAACTAAAAAGAGACACAGTTATTATTTCATTTTAACAGGACTAATTATCTGGAAAATCCTGGAAGGTCCAGAATAACACTTTTAGAACTATTAACTAATAGGAGTTCATTCAACTGAACAGTAAGGACTGTCCAAGGCCTATGCAAGTTCTGTAGCTTCACTGAGAAATGAAAAAGATGAATTGAATAAATGCAGAAATGTACCAAGCTCCTGGTAAATAACTTGCTGTAAAACTGTTCACTGCAGCACTATTTATCATAATAAAAATGTAAACCAACTAAATATTTGACAATAGAGAATAGGTAAAATAAAGTATGGTACAGTCCTATAACCATATGAACAGACATAAAAATACATAAAAGAAAAGTATTTCATGACTTGGAAAAATGTGCAGGGTGGACAGTAAATTTTTCAAAAGCAAATCACAAAACATTTTTTTGTAAAAAAATGGTATGTTTTGTATATCCATACAAACATGCACACAAAATAAATCTGGGAGGCCATATCTCACAATGTCCTGTGAGATGAGTGATCTTAATTTTCTTCCTTTAGCTTCATTTTGTTGTGTATACCTGGATTTCCTTTATTTCCTACAATATTTATTATATTTGCAAGAATTAAAACATAATTATCTTAGAAAAAAACTGTAAATTCTCCTATTATGGCTAGGATAGATTTCATGTAGTCGTTGCTCCAAAAAGAAACAAAATTCAAAATGAAACCTCAGTAACATAAGTGAGACTCTGCTGGAGTTCTGTTGTATTTTTATGATTCCAAGCAGCTGTAGTCAAAATCTCCTTTATGATAAAGTTTTACCCAAAACTTCAAAGGATAATAAGAAACTATATTGTTTCACCATATATGTTTTATTCTTTCAAAAATAATTTCATAGTTGATTTCATTGTCAGTCCAACCCTTTAAGAAATTATCCCCACTTGAGGTGCCTGGGTGGCTCAGTCCATTGGGCACAGGACTCTTGATCTCAGCTCAGGTCGTGATCTTAGAGTCCTGAGATTGAGCCCCATGCCCATTGGCTCCACGCTCAGTGGGGAGTCTGCGTGAGATTCCCTCTCTCCACCTCCCTCTGTCCCTCTCCTCCCTCACCACACTCTATGTTTAAAATAAATAAACAAATCTTAAAAAGGAAAGAAATTATTGCCACTTACAGATTAAGAGTGTGAAGCATAGAAAGATCTAGATAGTTAAACACATGGGTAATGATATTATTACCTGTACCAGCGGGAGTAAAATCCAAAACTTTACACTTTAAATCCAAATGAATTTTAAACTAGATTTAATTTCAAATAATTAAAGTTTCTCCCAAGTACCAGGTCCTGCATTTTGCAAACTGTGTATAGAAGTGATTAAAACACTATGCAAATATAAAACAAATTCTAAGAGTATTTTAAATTCTTGGGAGACAAGAACTAGGGTTAGCTAGAGTTCTTATTTCAATAATACACAAAGGCTGAAGTGCTGGTATCAAATCATTCAAATATAGATTTCGTTCCTTTAAATGACTCACCAAGAGTATCTAGCCCCTGAAAGAGCATCAAATGCAATCTCTGAAGTTAAAAATTATCATCAGTCTGGGTCCTAGAAAATCCATGGGAAAACATTTTCTTTCCTTTAGTAAACCCATCATCCTGACTTAGAGAGTTAACCTTTCTTTTAAAAAAATCATCTCATAAGTGACGCATTTCATATACATATGTACTGACATAATTAAATCAACATGCTTTCAAGGAACATACTCCAGCATAAGACATGATTCACTATTTTCTTTGTATGTAACATTTACTTTGGATTACAATGAGGAAGTAAGCAAAATACAGTTTACAAAATTTATCTCATGATACACTTAACAACCTTGCAAAAGTTTTACATGCATTATGCCTCGCAATAAACATTGACATTTACAATCTAAAATTCTCATTTGTGCTAAAGGCAGGCTCATTCTTTCACTTAGGTAATGAAATTTTAATATAGTATGTGTATGAGAAGGGGAGGGGAGTATAAAATATATTAAGTAATTCACTTGGCTACTACATTACCAAAAAGAGGACATCATTTTTATTCTCCCATTTCTCAAGCAATAGATTTTGCAGCAAAGTTGTCAACAGATGGGAGGGCTTTAGGACTATCTGACACATCAGATTTGCTGAGAAAAGACAGGTCTGTGACAATTCTAATTTTCCATTTCTTCAATATGCAAAATATTCCAGTAGGACATCCCAAATAAACATCCATCTCCCCCCACCATCTACAACATGTCTTCCATCTGTGGGCTATCGTAATGGCCTCAATGACAACCTCCACTACTTACCTTTGTGAAAAATGGCAATCGTCATTACCCAAAAAAGCAATTCCTGTCATTTTTCTTTTTCCTATACATCCAACTATGAAATCGATAGCATATTATTTTCCAAGACAATTTGTCCAAATGAATCCTCCAACTATGAGGCATGAACGCATATGAAGGAAGTTAAAGAGGAGTATTTGAGGTAAAATTGGGCAGTTTGACAGAAAGTGAATTTTCTGTCAAGAGTATCTATTACCTTGGTTCCAAAGAGCTCACAAATATGCAGAGGAGTAATGTCAAATGTCACCAATTTGTGCATACGCTGTTCATTTAAACGTTTGATTGCTGGCATTTTTCTCTGTGGATGTTGCAAGTTCCATCTAAGTTTATTGTTGTACATTGAAATAAATCTGCAGTGGAGCCTCACTAAAATATTCCCTATGGACACATGGCTTGAGGTTGCCTGACATCAAGATAGGAGGTTCTTCTTAAAATATGTTCCAAGAATAGACTTTAAGACAGACTCTGTCTACTAGTGAATTTTAGACCATCAATTTTAAAAATGAAACTCTGAATTGTCGTACATTAGATGATTGTTCCTCAAATATTCTACCCGCCCCCCCACTGCCGTTTCCCCCTCGCACTGTGGGCAGAGTGTACTTCCCCACCCCAGTGATGCTGGGCTTGGCCATATGACTTGCTTCAGTTAATGGGATATTAGATGATGTGATACAAACAAAGGTGTGAAATAGCTTTTTACAGTGGGACTTGACTAATTATGCTTTTGATATTGCCATGTGCTATGGTCTGAATATTTGTGTCCTCCCACAATTTGTATGTTAAAATCCTAATCACCAAAGTTGATGGCATTAGGAAGTAGGGCCTTTGGGAGGTACTTAAATCACGAGGGTAGAACTATGAATGGGATTAATGCCTTATCAAAAATGTTCCAGAGAGATCCCTAGCCTCTTCTGCCATGTGAAGATACGAGGAAAAGTCTACAACCTGAAACAGGACCCTCATTTAGCCATGCTGTCATCCTGATCTCAGACTTCCAGCCTCCCAAACTGTAAGCAATAAATTTTTGCTCTTTACAAGCCAGTCTGTGGTATTTTGCCACAGCGTCATGAACAAACTAAGACACCATGAAAAGAACCTTCTTGGGTAGTTCATTATTCCAAGGAAGAAAAGAGACATATCATGCTCATTTGTACCCAGCCTGTGCTTTGGAGCCAAGGCCAGCTGAGCCCAATCTAGATCAGCTGACCTACAGCCAATGTATATATCTGTAAGCAAGCATAAATGCTTTAAACTCCATGCATTTGGTGGCTTATTACCCAGCATTACTGTGGCCATAGCTGACTGATACAATAACTACTTTAACAATGTATTGGTTAGGGGCGCCTGGGTGGCGGCCTTCGGCTCAG